ACGTCCAACACCAAAAGTCGAGCTAAACGACCCATCGTATGAAAGTTCAGGGAGATCTATTATTATATGAAAGTTCACAAGTGGAAATAGATTGTTTTCCCTGATTTCCATGTATTTGTAGTTTCAAAGCTCTTTTCAGAAAACTTAGGGAAGATGATGGCAAAATGGAAGAAATCCACATTTTTAGCTCAGAGACAGACCGTCAGAAATTCAGCCTGAAATGAAGACTTTCTCACCGTCCGATACAACTCAAATTTAAAGACCATCAAGAGGAGACAACCAGCTTTCCATAGCATTTTACATCACAAAGATCCAACGGTGCAATCAAAAGATATATGGAGAACAAGTTGACCCAATTCACCAGTCTCGGAAGACTCTCACCCGCGGCAAAAACATGTTTTACCTGCTTTGGAAGACTCTCACCCCGGGTGGACCTTAGGACGAGCCACAAGGCCCAACATGAAAGCCCACTTTGCCATTTTTCTTCAGAGAATCCCTAAATGAGACCTGGAAGACCTTAGGACCTATAAATACATTCTTTAGCAGCCCTAAACGGGCGTGTGCTCCTGTAATGAGATTTTAAGCCACCAAACTTTGTTTTTCTAGGGTTAGACGATGGAGATGGGGATTTTTCCCCATATCCATTGTTCTTCCTCCTTTTTATCTAATTAACTTTTCTGTTTCATTCTTTTGCATTCTTATATGTTTTTCATCATTCATTGCAACATGTAGATTAGTCCCAGAGAGTCAAGTTGTTTGAAGATATCGACAAGCATATATATCGATTAGGATTTCTATTGTTCTTAGCCATATTCTGGATCTTATCTCTTCTAAGTTATCCGTAAAGCATGAGAGTATATTCATGACCTATTCTCTGAGCCTAGGATCGACCAGAGCCACGAGAGTGCTATATCAGATCATCCATACCTAGCTTTAGAAGAACATAGTCGTTATAGGAGTCGAAAGCTACCTATAGAGAAGATGTGAGCACACGAATTCAATGTTCAATGCATGATATTAAGTTTAGCATGAGAGCGAGAGTTAATTGCTAGATCTAAGAGATTAGTTGATTAAGGTGACAACAGTTGGTTAATCATGCATGTGTCTATTCTAGTTCAATGTAGATTCCCAGAAACAGATGAAAATAAATCGCCCGGAAGCTAATTGGAAATGCCACTATACATCGATTATAGTAAACCGGAGAAGTCTAAATCGCCACCTATGAGTTTTAGAGTCTTTAGTTTGAGTCGATATGCTTTAGATGTTCTTTTAACAATTCATCCTGCATTGCATCTCTTGTGAATACTAGATTAGGTTTAGTTTAGGATCTTAACCAAAAACTCCAAGTCTTTTATTGGTTTATGATTTTGCTTACTTCCCAGTTAGTTGTTTCTTGCCGATTAGACATCCTTCTTGTGGATCGACACCATAAGTCCTACAACGTACATCTGTGCACTTGCAGACACTAGGATTTTATAAATTTAAAACTTTTAGAGGACCAACGGGCTTGTTAAAAAACAACCCTAGGCACGCAAGCCCATCAATGGATGTGAATTGATATCATCCACTCGGTTCAGTTTGATCTCATTTAGGCATTTTTTGTACACAACTCAAATGGCCTATTATATAGTATATACTGACATGGACACGAAATACTCGGTCTCTCGGCTAACTCAAGTTTTAAATTGACATATTAGAATTTGAAAACATGAATTTCAGAGTCCATATTTATAGATTATTAAAAATGGTTAGAAAGTCAAGCGTGCAACTTTGAATTATAAATTTGTCACATTTTGGAGGTATGTGATCCTACATAGTAAGCAAAAATGATTGAAAAAAACGAAAAAAAAAAAAATCAAGTCATAAAGGCAAAACAATCAAACTTTTGAATGATTTTGTTCTTCTTTTCCATAAATGTTTTAGACTATTGATGTCAAGCTATGTAGGAGCCCTCAGCAAAAATATATCCGTTAGAGCTTACATCAAATACAAACTCTAATAAACTATAATTGAGTTTCGATTTACATAAAAAAATTATACTAATTTGGCATCATGTTAAAAGAAACATTATTCAACAATAGATATATCATATTTGAAAATTAACAATTTGAAAAAATACATTTGTACTTCATAGACTTTCCAAATTGGAATAATATCATTATAATTAAGTCATCAATAAGGTTCATACAGCCAAAAATAATGCTTTGATTAATATATTTTTGATAGAATATGAGTTGTCTATTAAAATAATGTAAAGCAACTAGTGAGTGATAACTGATACCCTAGTTCACAATCGGAATTGACATTTTATTTTAGACCGGGTAAATAAATATATGAAGACCAAGTTAAAATGGGTTTTATGAGGCTTTTTATAGGATTTCTTATTTTTGTTTAGGTCATTTAGCGGCGGTAGGGAGACACGATTCCAAATCGTAGGAGCTCGATCTAGAGAAATAAAGACACGAAATAGTGTCGTTTTCGTCTCTATATCTGGTTAATTCCGTGAAAACAAACAGCAAGGAAGATTGGTGTGATTAAAAGCCTATGAAGTGCATTGGAGATGGTGATAAAACTGAAAAAAAAGATGTATTATCTTTCTCTCTGAAAACCGTAAGAAAATACTTTTTAAATGATAGAAATAACTACACACACCGAGAATATGAAAATCAAGTATTAATATGAAATGCACAGAAGAATACGAAAAGCAAGTACAAATCTGAAAGTAATTACACACACCCCCATCATACTTACCAAATGTAACGGATTTCTAAACATCCTTAATATTAACCGGTTCCGATTGGGGCTCTATAATTGATGTTACGATTTTCTAATCGAAGAGGAATTGAACATCTTCTAGCAAAGCATGCAACTAGTAATCTTCGTAGTTTTCAAAAATCATTTAGAAAAAAATAAAACATAACAAAAAGTAAATAATTAGTACAAAATATGAAATATAAGAAACTCTAAAGTATTCGAAGATCTATAGGACCATCATGAAGGGTGATGTAAACTAAAACAAAAACAAACAAATCACAACACCACAACTTGATCTTTATAAACAGAATTTTCTTATATAATTTTTTCATTTTTGTGGTTAGTAACTAATTCGCTACACCAACCAAAGCCATGACCCTTTTTTCGGAAGCCCATTCTTGGCATAGTTGAAGCTGATGTAATTTATGCTGTTAAGTCCACCACGCAAAGAAAACTTTACCACACTCTCATGGTCGGTCCCGTCGTCCCATTCCTCCCCTCTGTTGCCTCCTCTTGCTTCAAGTTTGATTGGATGAATCCTTACGAAATATGCTCCAATAGATTTGAGCTCTGAGCTAGTAGCACATTTGTGAAATCCAACAATTTTTTTATCGTTAGATTTTAGGGAAAATCTGGTACCATTGTCATATCCTATGATTCAAGAGGCTTTGAAATGAGTATAGAATTGGAGAGCTTGAATTATACCAACTGTGTTGTAGTAATCATTAACAGATATAAAATATTCACTATTGAGATGGTTGATCTCAATCTGCAAAGAATAGTGAGAACAGAGATTACAATCACTACTTCACATGGCCTCGAATAAAGAGAGGTCAATTAGCCTTTTTAAGTACATAAGCCTTTACTAGACTTGTAAATTAGAACTAGTTTCAATATACATAAGAAATTTGGCATCGTGTTAAAAGAAACATTATTCAACAATAGATATCCCATATAATCATGCTTTGATTAATTATTTTTTTATAGAACAGTAGTTTATCAAAATTCAAAACAATGTACTGCAACTAGTGATAACCGAGTTCACAATAGGAATTGCATGGTAGTTTTTAGATCGGGTAATTAACAATGTAAAGCTCAAATATAAATGTGTTAAATTTAACGGCCCAATATGAGGCTTTATCTCTGAGCTAGGATTTTTATTCTTGGTTCTCGACATAGGATTCTTCTTGGCGGCGATAAAGAGGAGGAAAATAGCAGGAGGCCGATCTAGAGAAGTGAAGAAACAATGGTGAAGGAGAATTTGCTACCGGTGAAGGAGTGTGTTTGCCACCGGAATACTGTCATTGTCGTCTTTATTTCTGGTTAATTCCGTAAAAATAACAACAAGCAAGATTTATGTGATTAGAAGCCGTGAAGGGCATCAGAGATGGTGATAAACCTGGAAAAAATGATGTATTATCTTTGTCTTTGAGAGCCATAAAAAAATATGTTTTTAGAAAATAATTACACACACGAGAGTATGAAAATCAAGTATTAATATGAAACATACATGAGAATATGAAAAGCAAGTACTAGTGATCTTTAGAGTTTTCAAAAATCATTTTGAAAAAATAAAACTTAACAAAAAGCACATAATTAGTACAAACTATGAAATATTAGAACCTCTAAAGTATTCAAAGATCTATAAGACCATCATGAAGGGTGATATAAACTAAAACAAATACAAAAAAATCACAACACCACAACTTGATCTTTATAAACAGAATTTTCTTATCTAATTTTCTCATTTTTGTGGTTAGTAACTAATTCGTTACACCAACCAAAGCCGTAACCCTTTTTTGGAAGCTCATTCTTGATATAGTCGAAGCTGATGAAATTTATGCCGTTAAGTCCACCACGCAAAGAAACCTTTACCACTCTCTCATGGTCGGTCCCAAATAAAAAGAGTCCAATTATCATTTTTAAGTACATACCGTTTGTATGAAATTATAACTGAGTTTCAATATAATATATATAAAAAGTTTATACCAATATGGCATCGTGTTATAAAAAAAATTATTCAAAAATAGATTTTCCACATGCTCTGATTAATTATTTTTTTCTGTTAGAATATTAGTTTATTAAAATTCAAAATAATGTACTGCAAAAAGTGATAACCAAGTTCACAACTGGATTTGGCATTTTTTAGACTAAGTAATTAACAATGTAAAGTCCAAATTAAAATGGGTTTAATTTAACGGCCCAATATGAGGCTCCTCTGAGCTAGGGTTTTTAATAATTGGTTCTCGACTTATAGGAGTCTTTTAAGCGGCGATAGAGAGGAGGAAAATCGTGGTGAAGAAACAATGGTGAAGTTCTTGAAGCAGAACAAGGCAGTGATCCTCCTTCAAGGCCGATACGCCGGAAAGAAGGCCGTGATTATCCGATCCTTCGACGACGGAAACCGTGAGCGTCCCTACGGACACTGCCTCGTCGCCGGACTCAAGAAGTACCCGAGCAAGGTCATCCGAAAAGACTCGGCGAAAAAGACGGCGAAGAAATCTAGGGTTAAGTGTTTCATCAAGCTCGTTAACTACCAGCACCTGATGCCTACTCGTTACACTCTCGATGTGGATCTCAAGGAAGTCGCCACGCTCGACGCTCTTCAGTCCAAGGACAAGAAGGTCGCTGCTCTCAAGGAAGCCAAGGCCAAGCTCGAGGAACGTTTCAAGACCGGCAAGAACAGATGGTTCTTCACCAAGCTCAGGTTCTGAGGAAAATTCGTGTTTTTCTGAAGAAGTTTTGAGCTTTATTTTGTTGCTTTTTCGTATCGGATTTTACAGCGTATTTTTAGTTTCGTATGATGAACAATGTGGATCCTTTTTTGGATTGTGAAATTTCTATTTTGGATTTTGATTGTCTAATGCTTATTGATTCCATTAAATTATCTGCGTTGGTTTTGCCATAATTTGAACTTGGTTGATTTTGTTTTATCCTGGAACTCCATTGCAATGAGCTTGTTGTTGATCATTCTCGGTTTAGAAAAATGATCATTGCTTACTTGAATCAAAGTTATTCGATTTTGGTAAAACTTAACAAATTTTGGAGTTTCATACCCTTTGGAAAAATGAAATTTGATTACTTGCTTGCTTGGCATCATCACGATATTGAATTAAAATAAATTTCAATCCTAAATTGTTCTTGTAGCAATGTGTTCAGAATTTGTAGTTTCAATAGAAGAAAGCAAACTCTTTCCGTGTGAAAATGCGGGGAAGAGAGCCTCGTGATTATGAAGCATACGACCAATTATTCTGTAATTATATGATTGTTACTGTCACAGATACAAAACTGTTCCGAGAATAGTGCCATAAACACGAATGTTTCTCTTTTAATTGCATAACACAACGTATGCTTCAGGGGAGCTTTGTAGTTAGTGTGTGATGTCTTTGTTTTATTCAGTTGTAAACCAATAAATAGCCTTCTTAGATAAGCTTCGTGGCCCAAAACATCTCTTACAATGCGGTTAGGATAAGATAGGCTTAATGTAATATTAAAGATAGGCTTAATGTAATCTCAATCAAATTAGAAGTTATTAGTGAATTTTTCCGCGTCTTGCCCGGATTAATATTATTGTTAATTTGATTGTTAAAAATCTAATATTAGTTTGAATTCATTAATTTTGTTTGTTAAATTTCCTTACATTTTAATGTTTTATTAAATTTTTCGTTTTATTAAATTTGAAAAACCGCTGTTGACAGCTACAAAAATAGAACGATATGTACATGATTTATATAAGGTTATATAGTATATGTTAATACTTATTTAAAAAAATATTAGTATATGTGTACTTGATGATTCCATGAATTTTTAGTTAGAATGAAGAAGAAGGAAGATGTTAGACAATTTTTAAAATTGTGAGAGAATTAGAAAAAAAATAGTTGATATTTATACTAAATCATAAGAAATCGGAAATCCTATAAACATTAGTGATAATCCATTATTTAGAGATGATTTTTTAAAACGACATTCCATTAGTTATATATATATATATATATATTAAATTTTTTGTTAAATTTCAGGTTTTTTTTTTGAAATAACATTCCATTACTTTTTAAATAAATTTCATTTTTTTGTTTATTTTAACATTTTTATTAGATTTTTTCTAAATTTTGAAAACCTTAAAAATGGTAATTACTAAAGATATAGATTCTATTTTTTGTGTTTTTTTTAAATAAACGTTTTTTGTTTTTTAAAAAAATGTTTTTGTTAACTTTTTTCTAAATTTTGGTTTTATAAAATTTTTAAAACGTTTTATGAAAACTAAACCATAAGAAAACAATGTCTAAATTTTAGTTAACATTTTAGTTAGATTTTTTTTGTTTATTTCGAAGTCATTAAAAATGGTAAATTTTTAATTTTGTTTTTATAAAAAAGTTTTTGGGTTTTTTACTTGTTTTCTTAAGTTTTGGTTTAATTTAATATTAAAAACGGTTTGATCTGAATTAAGCATTTAACCATAGTAATTTAGACCGGTTTGTTTTAAGTTTTTTTGACACATCATGAGATAAAAACCAATTAAAAAATGATACGTGATTAAAAAATAAGGCTAAACGGTCTTTTTGCGGCTGAAACTCATTATAGAGCTGACACGTAAGCGAGAGGCGGTGAAACTCGCTGTGAGCGTGACACATTAGCAAATCACTACACAAATAAGTATATAGATATAGTTCTAATCAAGGTTGTTGTGTTTAGTTTTGAGTTATTTTCTAAACATTCCTTCTTGTGTTTCACAAAAGTAAAAATTCTATTTTATTTCTTATTAATACATTAAACAAAATTTATCTTTCTAATTAATACATTAAAACAATAGAGTTAAATTGGATTTAAAAAAAAATTGTATTGAAAACACAAAATAACATTCTTAATGAATCAAAAACCAAATGATAGAATGACATTGTTTGTGAAAAGAAAAAATAATAACAAAGAAGTTATTCATATACAAAAAGTTAAGACACTATAATTAGACCCCATATTTTTATCCTTAAATCTACAACGAACAAGAGAATAATTATTTGTAATTTAAGATCAGACTAGATTTAGACCCGTGCTGTGCACGGGAAGTTTTTTTTATAAAGTTTTCAAGTTTGGAGAGCATATACAATTAAAATTTTTATTTGTGTGTATGTTAATAGTTAGGTTATAAGAATAATTTTATATATCTGTCGCATTACTTGAATGTATATTAACTTGGTATGATTTTGGTTATTTATAATTGAGGATGATATTATTTAAATTTTCAATGTTGTCTACATAATATAAACGTATATAGTATTAGACGAATATATATACATATATATATATTGTAATGAGCAAACATCTATAGAGAATAATGAAAACAATCTATCTTATTAATAAATCCTGAATTTGACATAAGTTCATAGAATTAAAACGTTGACTACTTCACTTGGTCACCTTTGTAGCTAAACGACATGAATAGTTGAACCTCCAACCATAATTAATAGGTGAATATGATATATGAGATTAGTCTTTAATCTCAATGTCATTGTTTTTCGTCTTATTGGATTTGAAATACCTAAATAATTATATACAGATATGTTATTACTGGCATTTAGAAAAATATCAAATATTTATATAGTACTTACTTATCTTTGAACTTATCAACTTCAACAATATGGGGATCAAAAAGAAACCTTGACATCCCTCTTGCATCCAAAACAGTCAATGTCCCTAAAACATAGATTTTACATATAGTTAATATTTGATCTAACTATAATAACTACTGTTATCATGATTAAATGTTAAGAACTTAGTTAGAAACAAACCATTGTTGTAAGCTATACGCCAGTCTGTCAATACACATGTTATATTAGAACCACAGGCAGACCACCATTGTGATTGGAAATCATCAGCCAAGTTACCATAAGCAATACAACTAATTTCAACATTCCTACAATATATTAACAAAATATATTGTTATCTTAATAACACACAATTAAATGGGTAACGATTCAAAGACTTACTTGAGATTTCTCAACGTAAATCGTAGTCGACTATAATATCTACGAAAATCACAATCTTGTCCGTTCCTTAATCCTTGTAAGTCGTCCAACGTGGACAACAACACCAAGTAAATCTAATATCACATAAAGTATCAAAAGATGTTTAAAAGATTTTAAATTGAAAATCAGTGAGAATTATATAAGACAAATACCAATAGGATACTTATGAGCAATAGTCCCATCCAAAATATCCTCAAACTCTGAGAAAGACATAAATTGAGTATCGGTAGGGATTTCATATAGCCTTTTGGCAGTAGTGTTCTGAAGTAGAAAAATAATATTATAGTACTATTTATATAGAAGTACAACGATATATATAAACTGTATAATATAACAGAATAAAACTTGTTTATGTTGGTTGCGTGTTAAGAATTGGTAATACATGTCTATTTTAAATTTCTACTACTCATCAGCGAATAAAAAGGCAAAATATATGACTAACAAATAATGCAAAAAATTAATATCCAAATAATACACTTTATTGAAATCAAATTAAATATGGTAGGAAGAGAAACAAAGTATTTATTAAAACAAACTTAAGAGAACACCACTCATAACAAAAAAAAAATAGAATATAAAATATAAGATAGCATAAAATAAGTCATAATCCTTTCTTCCTTAAGAACTTGAAGCACTCACGTATAATTCCGTTATCTTCTTTGCAAGCCTGAGAAGAATATTTTTCATGTAATTAGTAAGTAAAAAAAAATCATAATCTAAAATTATTGAATGTTAATAACGATTATTACTTGATCCCAAAGCTTTTGACTTCATCCAATGGTGGGGCAATAGCAAAACGTGAAAGCGACCCCTCCTTGTAATTTTCAATTGTCATTTCATCTAATATATAAATAAGATAAGGGAATCAAGTTTTGACTATGTATAAGGTTGTCTTATAAATATGAAAATCATATAAACGCACCAATGTTTTTCTTAACCAACCAATCAGTTAAGACACAAATAGCAAATGGACTCTTCCCTACAGGACCTTTGCATTTCCCTTCTATCTCGTAAGCCAAGTCATCATGTGCAACACAGTTAAGTTTACAATTCCTACACATTATAATTATTATGATTATATTGTATCTCAAATAATGATATAAAAACATGAAACCATTATATTACTTACTCCAGGTCTTTAATTCGGAATCTCAGTGTTGGAACACTTTTGTCATCGGGATAAACAACTGTTACCATATTGTCGACATGATCCAGAACACCAATCAAATCTGGTTTAAAAAATATTTTAGTACCACAACTGATCAATATTACACAATCAATCATACAATACTATAATCGATAACACTAACATAGTTAAATACATAAATAATAAAGATAAATGTTAATACTTACCAACTGGGTAGAAGTGGCTGTAAGGCTTATTGTAAACACGGCTGAAATCAACAAAACGAAAAAAGGATCTCCAGTCAAAGGTCGGATGGAACTGACCTTAGTTTCACCATCTAAAATTATTTGCTTAATGTGTCTTGTAGTACGTTCTTCCCACTTAGAAGGAATTAATTTGAATTTGGATAACTGCACCCAATTTCCTTCTTGCAAAACGTATTCGAAATAGGATAGATTGAGGTTACCAACGTAGGCAGAAATTCTGCAACCCTGTTAGGGTAATTGATATAAAACATTAGTAGCAAAACGATATGAAGTACTAATAATATAAAACATTGAT